CCCTGGGCTCGCAGTGCAAACAGAGCTAGATGGATCAAATGACCTAGCTTGGCTAAGTCGGCATTGCTAGAACGTCCTCTCACTAGCGTCATGACGGCTGCAACGTTGTCCAGAAACCAAAGCCCGTGTCGATTTCGAAACAGGTCAAGTCGTTCCACTAAGGCGTATAGCACCATCGAGAGCTCCAACTGGGCGATGTGGGTTTCTGCAGGCTGCCATAATTTCTGAAGCTCTGCACAATTGTTGGCTACAAAACTGTGACGTATCTGGGATCCGTCAGGCTGGAAAAAGATGAGGTGAAAACCTCCTGAACCTGGATTGTCAGCCTCCACCGCAGCATCTGAGGCAGCAAGGAAGCGCAGGTTGTCCAGGTGAAAGACGGGAAATTCCCGTTTTGGCTGAAAGCGCATCACTGCTTCGATCACCTCGAAGCATGCTTCAATCTCAGGGGTTACCGATGTAGTGGCTTCATCCTGTCTGGCTTTGATTGCCATCAGGCCACCATACCCTACACGGCCATAGATACCCTGCTCTAGGAAATTCGCCAGGCCATACAACTTCGAAGCTGTGCCACGGCTGAAGTGACCTGTAGTCCTAGCCGTAGTGAGGAGGTCACGAACTTTATCATGAAGACGTTCTCGAGCCCAAAAACGGACATGCCCTGTTTGGTTGATGCAGTCGAGGTCATGGGTTAGGCCCAAAAAGGTGCCTGTGCTCTGCATTGACTGCTTCTTGTCTTCGGCAAAGGGGGAGCCTATCAACTTGCAAAGCTGGTTCATGGCCCATTGTCCGGAGCCTTTGGAGGAACGTAGGTCCGTGATGGTCGCATCGTCGAAGTAGAGAGATGTCAAAACTTGGCAAAACCGCCTGGCCAAAGCTTCCAACAACCGCGAAAAACGGTTGAATGAAGTGACCGCTAACGGAAGCCCAAAAAGGAGGCCTGCATAGACCTGATATGCTGGAGTTTGCCATTCATGGTGGTACCACACCACTATGCAGCCTAGGCTTTCTTGCATCGCCATGGGGCAATACCGGTAGGCTGATGGTAGATCTTCCTGGCCTGTCTCCCAGGCATCGTTGGCGAAGAAGTGCTCGATGTCCTCTGCTGTCCATCTATGCATCACCAAACGAATGTGCTGGGCTGGACGCAAAGGACTGCACAGGGTGAGCTTGTTGGCATCGGAGGAGAGGGCTGATTGTCCTCCTGTGTCGCCGTTGTCGATCACTCTCTGCTTGCCTGAACTCTGCGTGATGACACAACGAGGGATCAAACGATGTGCTCGGTTGCCAATGAGCCGCAAAAATTCGGCTCGTCGCAGAGGTGCGGTGCAAAACCCGTTGTTGGCATCCTCCATGGATTGTTGCAAAAGGAACTCATCATCTTTGCCTGCTCGCAGCTGGTGCAGGATGTGCTGGTTGTGTTCCTGCCACCCATCCAAAACATCTGTCATGCTGATCACCTCAGCCGGCTGCTGGGGAAAAATTCCATAGGGTGGCGCATAGCCCACTGCCGGCAAGCCACAGATCAAGCCAAAGGGGAAGCTAGTGTCAGCCCAGGATGTCAACACCATCAACAAGGCTATGAGCCCCATATCTCGATGTTTGGTGACTTGCTGCACGGCGGTTTCCTGAAAAGATCTCAAGTGGAGGGTCACCCCCTCCCAGCGTCTCTTCAGCTCGCGCAATGCCCCCACTGCCTGTTGCCTCCACGGCCTCAGCGATTTGGTCGGGGATGCGTATGCATCGGCCACAAACTCCAAATCCATGTCAGAGACTGGAAGGTCTTCATAGGGCAGCGGCCTCTGGGCCCGTTGGAGGGCTTGTTGGAAATGATCGTCTGGCTCCAAGTTGAACGCCAGGAGTGGTGGTAGTGCTGCTTTGTGCGTCATTGCACCGACTTGGCCTCCTTCTCCAATTCGGGCCAGTTGCCTCACAGATCCCGCAGCAAGGTGGGGGACTAAGGGGCCGTCCCAAGCCTCACCACGCTCTGCCAGCCAGGCTGCGTAGGAACAAAACGGCGGGCTGTTGATGAGGTCCTCCACCATCGCAAACTTGTAACTCCTGAACCAATGCTCGGGGAAAAGCTTGCGAAATGCCAGCACTACTGCCTCCTGGCTCATCATGGGTAGGGCAACTCCTTTGGGGATCGCCTGAATACCTTGCAACAACGTAACTGCCCGGCTCCATTTGCTATCTGTGCCTCTACTGCCTGGGTCGCCCCCAGGGGCCATGGCATCAAAGTAGACTTGCTGGCTGTTAAGCAGGAACAGGGGAACCATGGAAAATGATGACGATCATGAACTTCCATTCATGGACTCATAGAATCCATGGTAATAACTTTAACAATTTAAAAACTGGGGTAGGCGCCACCAGGCTTAGTGGGCGCAACTCTGGTGCACATTGCAGATCATCAAAGGGATCAATTGAAACAATGGCAGTGTACATGAAAGGGTTGCATGGAAGGGTAGTATCAGATAAACCTTACTCGATGAAACAGTGCATATAGATCTTAACAAAGTGCATTGCAAAAAATGAAAGTTTGCAAAGGAAGACATGAAAACAACATCGATAGATATGGAAGACGTCCATCGAAATCATTGTGGCGACATGCGAAAAGCATCAACAAGCATTGATGGAAACACTGATGCATGCCGAGATCATTCGTCATCATGGAGCTGGGTGCTGATAGTTACTTGCTGATCAGCAAGGATGCAAAGCCTGACAGGGTCTAATCTTGTTTAAGCTGCTGGTCAGCAGCAGGGAACCCTTGCTGAACAGCAAGGGTTTTCGTTGACC